AACAATGGGATTGGACTTTGAGCACATGATAAAAGCGAGAGCACACAAGGAAGGGGTGAGGATAGGTAAGACACCTAAAAAATTAGCTAGCATTTGTTGCCCTTAACGCAGAGAAACTAAAGCAGATACCTTAAAAGCAACTGAGGCCAATAGGAAAAGGGGACCAGGAACTAGAGAAAAGGTTAGATCAAAAAGAATTAACCTAGAAGGTAACACCCACGCACAGGAAATCAATGTGAGTCAATGCCCTGTATAGCTATCCTTATCTCAACCAGCAAAAACCCTTGTTCCTTCCTATTATGGCTTACACTCTCTCTACAACAAAATTAGAAATAAGGGCAAAATAGTTTCTGCTGGGTATTGAGGGGGTGGGGGGGAGAGGGAGGGGGCAGAGTGGGGTGGTAAGGGAGGGGGTGGGGGCAGGGAGGAGAAATGAACCAAGCCTTGTGTGCACATATGAATAATAAAAGAAAAAAAAATGAAAAAAAAAAGATCTTTGTTTGTTCTTCAGAAGAAAGCACTAGTCCATCTACTACTGATTTGTCCCTCTTTGTCATCTAGTTTGACACTAAGTTTTCTTTGTATTCTTGTGCTGTCTTTAGTAAAATAGTCTGCTGAGGGCAGAGGGGACTAACTATTCTTGGGAAAAAGCAGTTAAGTGGAAGGAACTATGGGGCTTGGAGTCAGAAGATCTTGATAGTAGCCTAGCACTGGGGCCACTGCTACTTATGTCATCTTGGGCAAGTTTCTAAATGTGTTCTTTTACATATAAAATGGAAATAACACTATAAGATTTTGGTGAGGGTCAGATGAACTGTGTGTATGAAAGACAGCTGTGTAAACTGTGAAGACTAAGTAAAAGTGTAATACTTTTTAATCTGTCTTGTGCTTTATAGTATGCCTTGTACATGTTAAGGCTTAATATATTAATGGTAATGATTTTTTAAATACTTGTTTTAGTTTTACCTGGAATCAAAAGAAATGTAAGTTTTGAATGCATTTTTAAAACTATAACCAGCAGATTGTGATATGTTAATACCTATCTTTTGATTTTATTTAAGCATAATTTAATAATAATTTTTCCAGTACAATGTCCAGTTTTATTATGCTGTAGTATAATTAGATTTCAAATTCTATTGAATTATTTTCATTCAGTTAAATAAAGATTATATTTCCTCGATTAACCACAACTGATGATATCTCTTTAGACTAAAGAGAGTGATTTGAGAGCTTTCTTTTCAAAAGCATCTAATATGAGAATAAGCCTACCTGGTTTTTTGGTGGTATTGGGGTTTGAATGCAGGATCTTGTGCTCTACTACTTGAACCACGCCCCAACCCTTTTCTGCTTTAGTTAGGTTTTGGATAGGATCTCATGTTTTTACCTTGGGCCAACCTTGGACTGAGATCCTCCTACCTATAACCTTTTGAGATTACAGGTATGTGCCACCATGCCAATTTTATTTGTTGAGATAGGGTTTAGGTAACTCTTTGCCTGTGTTGGCCTTGAATCTTGATCCTCCTGCTGACTTCCTGAGTACCTGGAATTACAGGCATGAGCTACAATGCCTGGCCCTTAAGTTCCACTAGTAAATAAGCTTTGATGAAAAACATTTCTATAGGAGATTATATCAAAATTTGATACCATGTTTTGTCAAGCAGTTGTGTGATTTTAAAAAAATCAGCTAGATGATGTACTTAGGTGGTGATTCTATTTTCTAGATATAGATTTTAATCTCTTCATTTTTAGCTATAAAGAGTAACTACTTCCAGAAGTAAAGACTAGATGATGTTTTTATATTCTTAAGATATAGATAATTAGGGATAATTAGGGCTATTTATCATAAAATTCTCATTTATCAAGAGAATGAGAAGACAGTCCATAGACTGGGAGATTTTGCAAATGACCTATCAGATAAAGGACTGTTAATCTGAAATCTACAAAGAACACTTAAAATAGTAAGAAGATTAAACAATCTAATAAAAATGGGCAGATCTTTATAGAAAACTCATCCAAAAAGGGTATACAGTGCCTTAATCAGCCAGGGGTTCTATAACAAAATCTCACAGGTTGGGTGACTTAAACAACATTTGTATTTCTCACTTCTGGAGGCTCAGCAGTTCAAGATCACCGTGCGGTGCTGATAGATGCAGTTCCTAGTGAGAGCTGCTTTCTTTTATAGATGGTTGCCTTCTAGCTTTGTTCTCAGATGACTGAGAGAGTTCGGGTCCCTCTCTTCTTATAAGGATGCTAGTCCCATTTTTTTTTGGGGGGGGGTCCCACTCATGATCTCATTTAAACCCAAGCCTCACTTCTAAACACTATCATGTAGAAGGGGTGGGAGTGTGGGTTTAGGACTTCCTCAGCATATGAATTTTAGGACAAACACATTTGGTCAGTAGCATGTCAGTGACAAGTAAGCATTAATTTGCAGCACTGGAGAATGAACCCAGGCCTCATGTATGCTAAGCACTTGAGCCACACCCTAGCCCCTTCGTTTGTATTTTGTTTTTGAGATTAGGTTCTCAGTAACTTGCCATGGCTGGCCTCAAACTCAAGATCGTCCTGCCTCTGCCTCCTGAGTAGCTGGAATTGCAGGCTTGTGCTACTACATCCAGCTCAAGTATGCATTTGAAAGATGCCCAGCATCTCCATTATCATTAGGGAACTGCAAATTAAAACAATAATGAAATACTACTATATCCCTAGTAGAATGGAAAAAATATAAAACAACACCAAATGCTGACAGGGAAATGGAGCAACAGGAACTATCATTCATTAATGATGGGAATGCAAAATGGTACAGCTACTTTGGAAAACAGTTTGGTGTTTCTTGCAAGAGTTAAACACCATATCACCACATGATCCACAATTGCATTCCTTGTGTTTACCCAAATGAGTTGAAAACTTCTGTGTCAAAACCTGCACATGGATGTTTATAGTAGCCTTATTTATAGTTCCATATCTTGGAAGCAGTCAAGAAGTCCTTCAGTGGGTGAATGGGTAAATAAATTGTGGTACCTCCATATGGTGAGATATTATTCAGTGCTAAAAAGAATTTGACAGGCTATGAAAGGACATAGAGGAAACTCAAGTGCATATTACTACGTGAAAGAAGTTAATCTGAAAAGGCTACACACTGTGATTCCAACTATGTGACATTTAGAAAAGCAAAACTATGGAGATAGTAAAAAAGATTAGTGCTTGCTAGGATTTAATGGAGTGGATGGATGAAAAGAAAGGATTTTTAGAACAGAGAAAGTATTCTGTATGGTATTATGATGGATACATGTCATTATATATTGTCAAAACCTATCAAATTTACAACACCAAGATGAACCCTAATGTTAGCTATAGACCTTGGGTGATAATGGTCAGTGTAGGTTCATTTTTGTAACAGACCACATTGGTGGGAAATGTTGATAGTGGGGGAAGTTGTACAAGTATGGTGGCAGAGAGTATATGAGAACACTGTATACTTTCTGTTCAAATTTGCTGTGAACCTAACACTACTCTAAAAAATAATGTATATCTAATTTTTAAAATTTATAATGGGAAAAAAGGCTTAATTTAGTTATCAGGCCAGGTCTTCTAACTTCAGCTAACATAGTACGGTTCAACTCTTGACACTAACCATCCTGAGTTAGCATCAGCTGTCAAAGGTTCTATAATTTCCAGTCCTGCTTGCTTCCCCAGAGGTTGAAACACCTCCAGAGCCCCTCATCCCACAATTGGTCTTTTTGGTAACTAAGCCTCATCTTGTTAGCATAAAGTCTGATGTGACTCAAGGGTCTGATGAGTAATGAAGATACTTTGACCACCTGGGAAATTTCAAGGACAAAGCTTTCTGCTCGAAACAAAGGACAAAAAGAAATGATTTAAAAAAAATATATAGTAGCTCTTAAAAACCTAATAGTATTTTTTCTTTTAATTTGAAAATGTACCATGGAATGCTGAGGTGAATGAAAGTACTTAAGATTGAAAGATTTAAGAGAAAAAGATGATTTATTGATATCTCTTAATCTCGTATTTTACACAGAAGATATCTTTATACACCATACAATTTGAATCCTATATTTATGATTTTATGAATAAATGTATTTCTTTTATTCATATGTGCATACAATGTTTGGGTCATTTCTTCCCCCTTCCCCCACCACCTCCCTTTAACCCCCAGCCCCCTCCCTCTCCCCCCCACCCCCTCGCTACCCAGCAGAAACTATTTTGCCTTTATCTCTAGTTTTGTTGAAGAGAGAGTATAAGCAATAATAGGAAGGACCAAGGGTTTTTGCTAGTTGAGATAAGGATAGCTATACAGAGAATTGACGCGCATTGATTTCCTATGCATGTGTGTTACCTTCTAAATTAATTCTAGGCTGGTGGAGTGGCTCAATGGCAAAAGTGCCAGTCTACTAAATTAATTCTTCATGAACTAACCTTTCTTTTTGTAAAAACGAGAGAAGACGTTGGAAAGATCAGCCAGTACTCACACTTTTGAAAGACATAGATAGCCTTAACAAAAGTGGGGTTTTTGGCGGGGTGAGGAATGGACGTTGTACTGGGGTTTGAACTTGATCTCATGCTTGCAAGGCAGGCACTCTACCACTCAAGCCACTCCACCAGTCCTTTTTGCATTGGTTATTTTTGAGATAGGTTTTTACTTTATGTCCTGTAGGCCTGGACTACGATCCTGTTATTTATGCTTCCCCTTATAGCTGGGATGTCAGGCATGGACCACTGTGTCCAGCCATTGATTGAGATGGGGTCTCCCAAACTTCTTGCCCATGCTGGCTTCAAACCACAATTATCCTGATCTTTACCTCCTGGGTAGCTGTGATTACAGGCTAGAGCCACTGCACTCAACCTTAACAACCATTTTTGTCTGGGCTCTAGGTCACATCATTGGCCCTATTTTTCCTTTTAGTAGCAGATTATTTCAAAATGTTTTATATATCCACTTTCTTCAAAAAAAAGTGATTAGTTGTGTTTTTCTCTTGCAGATTGATTACACTGGAACAGAGCCTACCAGTCCCTGTAATAAATGTTTGTCTCTGGAAGTGACACCTTGCTTTTGTACCATTAACTTCACACTGGAAAAGTCATTTGAGGTCTGTGTTAGAAAAGCTATACTGTAAAAAGTATTAATATTGTGCTAACAGTTTTTTTATGAGGTACTTCTTGTAGAGAAGTTTAGTTTATTGGAATCCATACACTTTTGAGGAAGATTGTTTTGTATGCTTCGCAGTTCATTTTGCTATCTGATAATTAAGTACATTTATTTGAGTGGCTTGCTTTAATAAATATTTTATAGACAAACTTTAAGGCATCATTTTACTCTTTCACTGGAAAATTTAACTGTACAAATCAATTTTGTATCTCCATGTACTTGTATTTTAAAATTCTCAAATTGTTTTGCATACTTTTAATTATAAGACAAGTTTGACTTCAGAAAATACTGATTCTCCTATTATTTAATTGAGTTATTTTTGCAAGATACGAAGCATGACCAAAAATGAAAACATATGTTAAAACTTTATTGATTTCTTATGTATTTTGGTAAGTAGTTGAACCTCCGTGTATATGCATGTGCATTTTTTGTATTAATGCTCATGTGCCATTTTTTGTAATAGCACATGGTAAAGGGCCTAAAAAGTTTAGAATAGGTGTGGAAATACCATTTTGTGCTTCTTCTACCTACAGATTGAGCTTACAACGTTACTCTTCAGGGAGAAAACTGATTTAATACATGTCAACTTTGTGTAGATTTTCTGTATTTCACACATTCTAAACGTAGTGATAGCTTTAGCAGTCCTTGGTAAATGGTTGTCATCTGTGGTCATAGTGGTTCTTGCACCAAGATAAAAGAGGATAATGCTGCCCTTTTTTGGGGAGGGAGGACCAAAGAAACGAATTTGGGAGGGGAAAGGAATGTAATTGTTTAACTTTGTTTTTACAGAAATACCATCTAAATTCAATGTACCTTTTTGTATTTATTTATTTGGGGTACTGGGGTTTGAATTCAGGGCCTGTGCTTGTGAGGCAGGTGTTCTGCCACTTGAGCCACTGCACCAGCTCTGTTTTGTGTTGGGTATTTTCAAGATAGTATAGTCTCAGGAACTATTTGCCCAGGGTGGTCTTCAAAGTGAGCTCTTCCCGATCTCTGCCTCCTGAGTGGCCAGGATTACAGGCATGAGCCACTTTTGCCCAGCTCATTGTATCTTTAAAAATCTAGATTTTCAATGTGATGGGCAGCCTGTAAAGATGCAGGAAGTTTTCCTTTTCTTACGATAGGTAGAATTGGAGAAATAAAGAGACTTGGAATGATTTACAAGCTCCATTTGTCTTCTCCCTATTCAAAACCATTTATTTCAGAACTTCTCTTCAGCCTCAAATTCATTCTTTTGTAGATTTTGTTTCTTCAAAAAATTGTATTAAAGCCTTTTTAGGGAACTTAAAGAAGGTTATTTTGTTTTAGTATTCATTGAAAAGGATCTCTTTCAGTTTACAAATTGAATGTATCATCTTAATTGAGATGATACTCTTTTTTTTCCTCCTCAAAGTGTTTTTATCTTTTTTCCATAGTGTAATTTTGATACTCCACCCCATAGGAAAAAGATTTCCTTATAAACAGTCCCTTTCTATACAGTGGAAAAGGTTACATGGTTTGATATTTAAAAGTCAAGTTTTAGCCAGGCATGATGGTATACCAATCCCAGCACTTGGGAAGTTAGCACTTGGGAAGTTGAGGCAGGTGGATTGTGAGTTCCAGGCCAGCCTGGGCTACATAGCTTGACCCTGTCTCAAGAGAAAAAGAAAAAAGGGGGTGGGGAAGAAAGAAAGCCAAAAAGAAAAGAAGAAAAACAGCTTTAAATAGTAGTGTATGTAAAAGTAGCAAATCAAATAAAGCACTTTAAGTGTTGCCAAATTCATTTTAATTGAGGATAAGAATAGAAAAACTAGAGGTTACAAAAAAGAAAGGAGAAACTAGTTTAAAATTTTTGCTACCTTTAAAAATTTTAGCCATTCAAGATAGCTTCTTAGCATCTTCTAAATCATTATAGTTTATATAATTATCCTTCTATGCCAAATTATTTTGAAATTAGCTCCACTAGATACTTTTCTTGATTATTATGAAGTGGCTTATTTCTAAGTTACTTAAGTAATTACTGATTTATTAATTGCTAATAGTATATGGTACTCTAGTGAGATACTTTATCTCCTCCTCCAGTACAGAATTCACCTGGACAATAAGTGAGTGTTTTTATCATTATCTCTGAAAAGTTGGTGCCAGTTGGGTAAAGACCAGTCTAAATTTGAGAACATTTCAGATTTAAAGTATCTCAGAACAGGCTAATAGATTCCTTGATGGTTATTTTTGAATGTAAATAGTACTTTTTTGAAGTATAAGGATAATTTTAAACGTTTACTATTGGGTTTTGTAACATACCTTCTTTATCCTTATTTATAATTATACCATTTTATTGTGTGTTTTATTTATTTACTTTTGCGGTTCAAGTTGTTGAACTCAGGGTCTCACACATGCTAGGCAAGTACTACCCTCAGTTATACCGCACCCTGGGCAGTTGTTCTATTTTAGGTTTCTAAGAATTTATAGAATTCTCTCCTGTACTTGCTTATCACAGATTGTAAGCTTGTATAGCTCAGATTGCTGAGCTTTTGTGTATACATGAAGCAAATTAATACTTAGTAGATTTTATATGAAGAAAAATTTCCTTTCCATTTTCTTTAGGGCAATGTGTTTATGTATTATGGACTGTCCAGTTTCTATCAAAACCATCGCCGTTACGTAAAATCTCGAGATGATAGTCAACTAAATGGAGATCCTACGGCTTTGCTTGTAAGTAAAAGGATGAAATTAAAAATGTGGTATCTGTAAATTGGGACATGTGGTGACCATTCAGTAGAAATGTTAATGTATTTAATGGTGTTAGGAGAAATGAAAGAGTTGCTTGTCATTTCTAGTTTGTATAGTGAGGGTTTTTAGTTCAAATTTTTTTTCCTGAACTTGGCACAGGTTAATGACTTCTTTTCTTACAGCTAGAGAACACATTACTACCAGCTTGTTTCTAGTAATCATTAGGATTTTGGATTTATCGGTCTGTTTGTAATGGAATTTTGATGAGTTTAGCACTCTAGATGTGCAAATATGGATTTGTTCATTGTTATTATGCTAAATAGGAATATAAAAATAAGCAACTTTTTTTGCTGTACTGAAGTCTCACTACTCCTTGAGCCCGTTCTACCAGCCCTAGTTTGTTTTTCAGATAGGATCTTAGGCTTTTGCACAGGCTAGCGTCAGACTCTGATACTTTCTACTTTCTTCTCCTGAGTAGTTGGGATTACAGGCATGTACCACCATACCAACTTATTTTTGAGATGGGATCTTGGCTTACTGTTTGCTGGGGCTGGCCTCAAACCAAGATCCTCCTATCTCCATGTCTGAAATTAAAAGCATGCACATGGAAGACATTTAATAAATATTTACTGAATGAATTTAGACATCTTTATCATGCCTCCCTCCCCCTTTTTTAAGATAGGGTCTTAACTATGTAGCTCAGGCTGGCCTTGAACTTTCTGTCTTCCTGCCTTTCTTTCTCAAGTGCTGGGATTAAAGACATGTGCTACCACACCTGGCTTATCATGACTCTTCTTTTGTGTTATAGTTGGCTATATATGGCTCTGTCTCCTCTGTTAACATTCTTAGTTGCTTCTGGCACTTAGCATGGTACATGGTGCATATTAGATACTTACATATAGACAGTAATATTTTCCCTTCTTTTAAAACTTACCTAAGAGCCAGGTATGGTGTACACACCTATAATCCCATCACTTGGGAGGCTGAGGCAGGAGTATTATGCGTGCAAGGCCAGTTTGGGCTACATAGTAAGACTGTCTCAAAAAACAGTGCTGGGCACCAGTGGCTCATACCTGTAATCTTACCTACTTAGGAGGCTGAAGTTGCGAGCCAGCATGGGGAAATAGCTAGCAAGACCTCATCTCCAAAATAGCTAGAACTAAATGGACTGGGGATGTGGCTCAAGTGTTGAAGTGTCTGTGTTGCAAGCCCAAAGCCCTAAGTTCAAACTCCAATCCCCGCCCCCACCAAAAAAACAGCAACAAACTTAAGAATTTAATAATCTTTTTTAAAATCACAGTTCTCATCAAAACACTCAGAAAGTAAACAGCCAGTTAATACTGTCTCTTTTCTGGTCTTGGAGTAATAACTTACAACAATATAGATGGCTTGGGGCCAAAAACAACTGTGATCTCAGATATTGAAGAGCTTTTATGAGATCCCTACCCCAAGTTCTCTGGCTTTTCCACTCACATGGTGCTTCTTCCATTTTAAACATGGAGAATGAAGATACAAGTCAAGGTTGGTCAGTAATGAAATAACCCTAAAAGGTATAACTAGGGTCTAGTTAATTTTAAATTGAGATTATCTTAGTCTGTTCATATTTTGAGAAATGGGTTTTGAGAAATGGGTTAATGTGGCCTAAGAATCCAGAACAACTCAGGTGAACCTCTGACCTCAGACTTGTTACTTCTCTAGTTTAACCTTGTAATAACTGCTACACCTTCTTGAGATCTTTAGTGGGGACTAAGTCAAAACCAAACATGGAAAGCAGGCAAATGTTCTGCATTGCCAGCATTTTTGTTTTGCACAGTTTAAAGATTGGTATGTTTTAGGAATCTTCATTTGACTCCTTCCTTCCTTTTTTGCACAGAGTATTTAACCCCAAATCATAAAATTTTAAATTATTTACTTGGACATCTTCATTTTATAAGTAAGCCTCAGTTTAATAAAGGGACTTGTTCAAGAAGCTATAAGATCTGACTTCCAGCTTAATATCCCTTTATTATCTCACAACTGCATTGATGATAGACCATCCATTAATTTCTTAGGCAGAAAACTCTTTGTAGTTGTGATTTCTATGTTGTGAAAGCCAAAACAGACACTGATATATGCTTATGTGACAACATATGCAAGTAAATCTTGTATTAAAAAGGTAATACAGCAGCAATATTAAGGATATATTTTGATTTAAGTGTGGTATTATTTATAGCCTTGTTTTCATTATAGACTCATTTGTATGCATTACAAGATAGGAAATGCAGGGTGGAATTTTTAATCAGTAACAAGGGGAAGTTCATAGTTTTTTTAGAGGTCTAGGCAATAATTTCTCTCTTTTTTTACCTTCCAAAAACCAGAATCCCAGTAAGGAATGTGAGCCTTATCGAAGAAATGAAGACAAGCCAATTGCTCCTTGTGGAGCTATTGCCAACAGCATGTTTAATGGTATGATAGGATACAAACATTGATTTTTGGACAGATAATTAAGACAATTCATATAATATTGTTACAGATTTTATAGTCTTGTAACTATGAACAAAATTGTGAAATTGAACTTTAAGGTAACTACTCAATTAGGTATTGAATGGAGTTTATAATGTTATGTGGCTTCCTTTTGAGTATTCTTATCTTTAAGAATGGATTCCTATCTCTGAGAGGAAAGAAGCAGAGGTATTTTTGCTAATCTTCCTATTTCGTATAAGAAAAGCCAAGCTGCTGTTTCCACTGACTGATTATTTATACCATTAAAAGGGAGCTATCGGGCAGGGGGCAGGGGGGGAAAAATGGCCCAAACAATGTATGCACATATGAATAAATGAATAAAGAAAAGAAAAGAAAACTATTTTTCAATAGCTGTAATTTCAATGTGATCTTTAATTATATTTTCTTCAGATTAGTGTATGCTTATTTCTGGACTCTCCTTCTGTTTAATGGTCAGTTTCCTTCCATTACCACACAGGTTCAGTTATTGGAACTTTATAATAAACATGGATACCTGATAGAAAAAAAAAAGGGAGCTATTGTAGATCATTTAGAGCAGTACTGTTTGATAGAAATATAACGTGAACCATAAGTGTGAGCCATGTAGGTAATTTTAAGTTTTCTAATCGTCACATGAAAAGCCCCGAAAAGAAACAAGTGAAATAAACCTTAATAAAATATTTTATTTAACCCAGTGTGCCTAAAATATCATTTCAGCATATAATAGTATATAAAAGTTTATATTTATACTAAATCTCTAATATCTGTTACAACCTTACAGAATGTATTCATTTATGCTAACCATATTTCAGTGGCTCAGTACACATCTGTTCCTTATGGTTACCATGTGCAGACAGAGAAATGAATAAGCCAGGAACTATTAGGAATGTTATTATTAAAAGGAAGAAGAGAGGGGCAAAATCTTATCACGTTTCAGCTAGCCATATAGGAAAGTGACTTAGACCTGTGATGAGGGAAGAGAAGTCCATCTAGAATTATAAAGTTGTTATAGTTAATTCACATCTGAATAAAGAGCAAATGTGAATTATATGTCTTCTCTGCCAGACTTACTTTTGGGATCCTCATTTCTTACAGATTAAAGCATGTGTAATAGATGTTTAGTAGATGTTAGTAATATTTTCCTTTTCTTATGTTTAGATACGTTAGAACTGTTTCTGATTGCCAATGAATCAGATCCTGTACCCACACTTATTCCTTTGAAAAAGAAAGGTATTGCTTGGTGGACAGATAAAAACGTGAAATTCAGGAATCCTCCTGGAGAAGGAAGCCTGGCAGAACGATTTAAAGGTAAAGCTTAGTAATATTCCTTTAAAAAAAAATAAAGTAGGAATTTTAATGAAGTAACTTAAATTTTTCTGTCTTTAGAATCTTAAAAAAAGTTTATGCTTCTTGAAAAAATAATTTCTTTCCTCGACTTCGTACCAAGTTAGGTACATGTTCTAATGTACTAAAATTCTAAAGTAATTGTTTGCTTTAATCACGAATCCTATTTCTCTGTTTTTTTCTTATAAGCCTTTCAGCTATATTTTTTAAAATCTGTAACAAAGTTTGTTAAATAAGCTCCTGTTATTTATAATCTGAAGTTGTTTTTGTTTCTGTGCTGCCTTATTTTACAATGTAATATTTCTTAACATATTTTTGCATTAAGTAGTTTGCCGTTCAGTATGTACTCAGTATCCTTTATATTCTCTTAGTTGAGATGTCAACCAAGGTGTTGTACTTTTTTTTGTTAAGTTGTTACAGGAAGAATTGGTTCCCCTTTTGATTTTAACACTTCCTTAGAATGTGAATATACTTAAATATTTGAAAATAAGAAAAATACTCAGATTGTGTGTTGCACATCTTTGTTTTAGTAAATTTTTTATTGAAACTCGTAATAGAAGTGAATATTTTATTTTCCCATCCCTCCTCCACTTCCCTTTAAGGTACAACAAAGCCAGTAAACTGGGTTAACCCAGTATACATGCTAGATTCTGAAGATGATAATAATGGATTCATAAATGAGGATTTTATGGTTTGGATGCGTACTGCGGCATTGCCTACTTTTCGTAAGTTGTATCGCCTTATTGAACGGAAAAGTGATTTACATCCAACATTGCCAGCTGGACAGTACTATTTGAACATCACATACAGTATCCTTCTGTGGTTATGTATACAGATTTCATAGAGTTCAAAAGGTGTCTTTGCAGCCTTTTCTCAGTTATGTGGCATGTTATTTTGTGCTTTAGTTTTGATCTCTGCATTTTTATAAGTATGTGTGTATGTATGAGGATATATTTTTAATTTTTATCTTCCAGAAATGTCTTAAATTTGTGTATACTTTGTACTAGGGTTTCAAATGTATCATTTGGTAAAATTATTTAAAATGTAGATTCTTGATTTATTAATAAGCTAGATATTTTTATAAGCTAGATTATAGTTGAGTTTATCTAAAAGGGCAATGAAAATACCCAATGCAAATACACATTGATAACACTGAGATATTTCAATAGACTTTTTTAGACATTAAAAACCAGCAGATGTGCTAATTCACATCAAAATAATTGTTCATAATTGCTGATCTGTTCATAGTATCAAAATATTTTTATCATTATTATTTGTTTGTAGTTCTGGAGATCAAACCCAGGGCCATACACATGCTAAGCATACATTTTACCAATGAGTTACATTCCCAGTTTATTAGCTATATTTTTCTACATTAGTAACTTGGGTTCACTTTCAGTACTGGTAAGTATTTGTTCTATTATTACTATATTTTAACATTATTAAGCATCATTTTATTGGATTCCAGCAGTAACACAAGGTAGATATCATCTCCATGTTGTAGATAAGAATACAGGAACCTAGAGCTTTTAAGTAGCTGACTTAGGGGTTATATAGGTAGTCATTAGAAGAGTTGGGGTACATAACCAGGTACTGACTCCAAAATCTATGACTTTACCATCATCACAGGCTGTAGCTAGTTCATTCAGCTAGTTAGACCAATCCATGTCTACATAGATTCAGTCTTTTAGGAGAAAGAGAGGATATAAAGAATTGACCAGATAAAGAAGGAATTTGGGCCTGTTTGATAACACCAAGTTATCAAAATGGGGTATAAGGTGGGAATTAGATTCTAGAATTAAGACAGAAGCCCATCTTTTAAAGATTGGGATACAGAGAGACATACTAGCATAGATGCTTTGATACTATAACCAGTTGCTTGAGTGTTAGATTAGGTAGAACTCTTAAAATCATTCCTGGCTCAGGTTAAGATTGAGAAGTTGCAAAAACTATAGAAATAGTAGGAGCTTTACACTTGATTCAAAAGATGGTTTTGGAAAGTTTTTCAGTAGGGACTTCTCTCTTTTCTAGCCTTACTGTTGCCAAAATCCTAGAACTGGTCCGTTCAGATATTTCATTCAACATACTGATGTCTCCTTGTTACCTTTCATTTCCACTGTTTTACCTGTCAGCTCTTTTATCAGAACATGAGTTTTGTCATTGCTGCAAATGAGCAAGTTAAAACTTTAGTATCTTTCTTAGTAATCCTGTGCTCAGAGCCCGCTGCCTCATAACTCCTCTTATACATGCTCTTGGAGCTTACAGAGACTTCCAGTTCCAAGATTCTTCCATTTTCTCCTGTCTGTCAACCTCTTCTTCCTGTGTGGGTTTCATTGCTGTTCATCTGAAATATTTTTCATATTACATTACTTTCAAGCCTTTAGCCCCTCCTTTGTAATGAGATCAAAACCACCTAAGAAACCATATAAACCTTAATTTGATTATGTTGGTAAAATATTTCAGCTTTTACTATTTTTAATTTGCTAAATCAGGGTCAGGAGTATGGGTCAGAGGCAGAGTGCTTTCCTACCACGTACAAGGCCTTGGGTTTGATTTTCCTCCACCAAAAAAAGAAGTAATTTGCTAAATTAGGTTTTCAAGATAATAATATAACATGATTATATTATATGATTCAGAATATATGAGGAAGCTCTGTATCATAGAATTACACAAATGAATTACAAGCAATTAAATGCTAACTTTAGAAATTGTATTTTAAACATCAAGTAACTAGAGATGGAAAAGTCTTCCTATACCCTGTTCAGATTACCCTGTACATTCTTTTGACGGACGAAAACGGATGATCTTGACCACTATTTCATGGATGGGCGGAAAAAATCCATTTTTGGGGATTGCTTACATCACTGTTGGATCCATCTCCTTCCTTCTGGGAGTTGTACTGCTAGTAATTAATCATAAATATAGAAACAGTAGTAATACTGCTGACATTACCATTTAATTTTATATTCTGAAAAAATCTACTGCATGTGCATCAAGGCCAGTCCTGTTCAACCTAGCTTTCAGATGCTGATACCTGGTATGTAATTTTGAAGTTGACATCACATAGCTTTTTTTTCTTTAAAAAAAAAATCAAAAACATCTTTGTCTTTGCTTCTTACCATTGAATGACTTGTGAAAATATATGACGGGTATAAACATTAGCTATATTGATCATATCAACTGTAACTGCGAAAACAGCATTCTAATGTTTGCTTTTTATTGGGACTGGCCACATATGATGCATAGAGCCTCATTCATGTGAAATGAATCTACTGCTTAAATGTTTATGCTGTGTTGATAATATTATATTGACATAAGATGCTGTATATATGTGCCTATTGTGTGAAGAAAAGGATCACAAGATGCATGAGTGTAATGATTTGCTAGCCTTTCAGGATTCAGAGTTACGGAAAGATGAAGAAAGACCAAATCTTAAATAAAACACTTCATCATTTTCATGTGTTGTGTGTAAAGGCTTAAAGTACCGTCTTTGTATTCAAAGGTGGTATTAGTTTATCTGGTACAGTTCTTTGTTAAGCTTAGCTTTGAAATCAAAGGACATGCTTACCTTGTCTGGCATAGAAATTAATGCTCATGTCCAAAGAGGTCAGGTAGGTCTCGGACAGAAGAATTTAAAATTCCTCTTTTAGTTTGGTTAAAATGTTGCAGTCAGGAACTCCAACTCACTTGAAATGTTTTACGGTGATCATTTCCCTTGAAGCTTATACTTCATAAGGGAAGAAAGAATATAGGTGAGGTGGAAAAACTTCTTGGCAGACCCTTCATCTTCTGCCTCAACTGTAAGCTTGATGTAAATGCTTTTACTTAGCATTAAGTAAATTACTTCTGCTTTGGAAATACCTCAGGCTGTTCTTATTTGGCAGGTAAGTGTTATATTCCAGAAATTTTTGAAAATTTAATTTCCTCTGTACTTCATTCAGTTTTTGCATACAGTTCAAATGTGGATATGTGTACACATTCTCTTATAACAGTTGTTTTGGTTGATTTTACTGTCATGCTTCAGAAAGATGTTCTGTAAATTTCCTACTTAAATTCTGGGGATTTGGGATTATGTACCTGATAAATTATGAAGTTATTTTATTTTCTACTAACTGGAATTATTTTAATACTCTTATTGAATAAATGCTATAATTTGTTTGCTATGGAACTTATTCTTAAAGTGAATGTAAACTATTTTTCCACATGCATGAAGATGTATGTAGTAATCAGAGATGACTTAATTACATTTGAATTGCTTTTTTTTAAAACTAAAATAATTCATGTTTATGTAGAAGAATACTTGTTTATTGAGAATTTGTAATTATTTCCTTCAGTTATGTTTGAAATCAAGAGATCTGGGTAGTGTATCAATTTTAAAAAAATAAACCAAAAAAAAAAATGCAATAGTTTATAGTAGAAATGTGCCACACTTAAGTTTTGTATAAAATGAAACTCAGTTAAAAGAATTTGTAATTCATAGTGACTTTTAACTTATAAAAATATTACTTGCATGAGTTATTTGATGTATGGTTATCCTAAAATTTCTGAGTACATAGGATATTATTTATCTAAAAATATTCTTTATTTTGTCAGTCCTTCAGAAATTTTTTTTTTTTTTCTGAAAGTTGTTTATTTTCTGGGCTACTTCATGAGGGAAGAGAGGTTTCTTTAGCCTTTCCAGATTGAGTCTGTACTATTTAAGAAGGACTACTATCCTGCATCTCTCTTTCTAACTGGGGGACCAAGGATTCTGCTAACGAAAAGTTGAAGAGCTTTTCTAACACTTTCATGTTTGTCAAGAGCATGGACTCTTAAAATAGAATTGGAGTTTCATCTATTTTACAAGGGCATTTATGGCCTGTGTTCTTCCCTTTCTCCTATCATTTGAGCTCTAAGGTAATTGCTTTTGGTAAATATGAAGAATATGGAACAATCATATGACCTCTGAGAAGCCTGGGAGGAAGGAAAACATTTCTTATATTTTTGAAAATTGATGTCATATTCAAATTTCAATACTACTGCATTTTAAGGCTTCTAGGTTAATTAGAAGGCTTGGAAAAGTGCATTAATTTTCAGAAAGTATTTTGACATGAAAAATTTCCCAATTGAAGAAATTATTCAGTAAGTAAAATCTAAGAAACTTCATTGAAATTGTAAGGCAGTTTAAGAATAAAGTGGAAAAAAATAACTACTTAATACAGTTATCATCCAACCAAGACAAGAGTCGAGTGAGTATTGTTTTTGACAGTAAGTTTATTTGTAATCTTGATTATATTAAAAGTTAACATTCTGTTAGTATGTTCTGTATTAATAAAAATTAACAAAATTAATTTTGATATGTTCAAGTCTTTCACCAAAATAAGTGTCCCAGTGTTGTTGCTAATGGAAGCACTCAATTTTAACCCAGTGTCTTTGAGTACAGGCTTTAACTTCTCCATGTGTTGATAATTATTGTTAAGTTATTATATTTATATTTATTAATCAGTCTGACAGCATCTGTTGCAAGATTATATTACTGAAGAACATCGTTTTTAGTAGGAAGTGGTCAGATTGTTAACTGAGTTATAGGTGGACTGGTTAAATTTGGTATTATATCAGGGGAATGTGGTAAGCAAAGAGAGTAATGGGTGATGGAAATAACAGATCAGGCACACAAGAAATGAAAAGCCTGATCAGTAAGGAGGAGCAGCTGAGAGGTCGGGTTAATGAGTGCTGCTGTCTTCATAGAAACACTGCCTTAGGATTATTTATGGCACTTCTTGGTTTAAGTTGTACAGTTTTGTTGTTTGAGAACATGGCAATTTTGAAGTGGGGGTGGAGGAGTACTGCTGCTGTTACAAAGAAGATTTTTGATTCATAAATATCTGTCATAGAGTTTGGATGATCCAGTAAAATGTTTCAGAATCCCCTTTTATGTTTATATCATTCAGTAAACATTAAAAAAATCACATTTCTCTGAATGTCATTTGAAAATTCAAAATAAATACATTGTCTAAAAACAGAATCAGACCATGGTGACCTTATTTGTTTTTTGCTTTTTTCTGTGCTGGAGATTGATAAAGGGCCTTATTTGTGGTAGCCAAGCACTCTACCACTGAGCCACACACCCAGACCTATTGGCTTGTATATAGCTATAACATTTATCAAAGTAACATGTGACACTTTTAAGAATCAAATAGTAAGTTCTGAAGACTTTGTGATCAAAAAGAATAGTACATGTGTGGACTTTTGTTTCCTGCCAGAGGTGATCATTTTTACCCTAAAAGGTTTTTCAGTTAGGCCTATTCAATTTGATTTTAAGTTTTAGACACTGTCTTCTTGATAATGTTACATACCTCACCTATTATGCAGTTACATCTTAATATTTAGTAAATGCATTAACTATTGTTTAAGTATGACTTTCAGAATAATTTATATTGTAGAGCAAAGCAGTGTACCATGATTAAATTTTCTTTGGTATAACTTAATTGTTCCTGGAGTTAATAATTGCCTCATTTTTAATATGTAACTTTCTGTAAATCTGTCGTAAAAATTTTCCAGCTTCTCTGTCAGGTCTACTATGTTCTCATCACTAGTTTTAAAGGGTTTTTGTACCCAAATAACAGGCAGCATCCTTGTTTTTATCAGAGAGGTCTATTCTGCAATCTGAACTGCCTGCTGTGCAGCTGTTACCCCTTTGTCATCCTTTTGTGTTGTGTTTCCTATTATCTAGCTCACTGTTGTTGACTGGAGCTCTTCCTAAAACAGGAAGAGTTGCTTTAGAAGTGGCATATAAAAGGTAAGTTTCTGAGTTCTCATATGAAGAATATACCTTTCCTTCTTTGCTTTCTTTGTTTCTTTTTTCCCCTCCCTCTCTCCTTCCCTTTTGCCTCCCTCACACCTCTTAATGAATTTGAACTCAGGCCCTCACACTTGCTAGGGAGGTGCTCTACCACCTGAGCTGTACCTCCAGCGATCTTTCTGGTTTTTTTAATTTTAATTTTAATTTTTTTTATTACAATGCTGGGGCTTGAACTCAGGGCTTTCACCTTGAGCCCTCCACCAGCCCTTTTTTGTGAAGGTTTGTCTTGAGATAGGGTCTCACAGAACTGTTTACCCAGGGTTGGCTTCGAACTGCAATCCTCCTGATGTCTGCCTCTTGAGTAGCTAGGATTACAGGTGTGAGCCACCAGCGCCTGGCTCTCTTTCTGGTTTTTTGAGGCAGTCTCTCACCATATATAGCTCAGGCTGGCCTCAAACTCATGATCCTCCTACCTTAGCCTACCAAGTGCTGGGATTATATGTACCACCATTAAGGGCTTAAAATGTCCCTTTTCTAATCTTCCATTCTATCGATAGTTTGACTACACATACAATTTTAAGGTAAAAATTTTCTTTCAGAGTTTTGAAAACATTGCTCCCCTCTTTTCTATTTTCTGTAACTGTGAGAAATCTGATCTGATCTTAGAAGTGGAATCTTCTGGATTGCGACCTAGTGTTTTTCTTTTTCCTCTGGTTGTTCAGATGTTATCATCTTTCTTTCTACAGTTCCTCAGTTTGTTTTTCAACATTATGCACAGATGACACACGCAGGAATTTCAGATGCTCAGGGTTCTTGAGCCTGCTCTGAGAATGAAAGCACAGGCAGACTCCAACAGCAGACGTTGGAAAGATTTTATTTGCAGAGAGTTTAGTTGGAGAAAAGAGAAGAGAAAGACTGCATATTGGAGAATGCAGGGGGACCCGGAAACCAGTGATCCTGTGGGTCAGGGTGGGGAGTGGGTTTTATAGCCTAGTTTGCATTGCTTGAGGGTGGAGATGCCTTTCAAATGCAAACAGGCATTTCTTAGGGAGGAGAAGTGTCTCCTTGACCACTTCCTGCAGTCTGTCCTTCAGTCCTTCAATTATCTTCTTTCTTTTGAATTGGTAATATACTTTAAAACCATCTTAATTTCTAAGACTTCTTCATTTCTTTTCTATTTCCAAAATACCTTTGTTTTACTGTATCTGTGAACATCTTATTTTTCTGAGAATATGCATTACTGCTTTTGTTTTCCTACTTTGTTAATTTAACGTGAAGAATTGTTTTTACTATGTTTAGTTTTTCTTTT